GGTGTTCAGGCCTGTGAAATGGAATTCTTCAAGCTCTGTACGTAGTGTGCATGGTCCAGTGAGGGCAGTGTGCAGTCTGATGTGCACAGTTGGAGGAATTGATTCTCAGCCATTGGGAATTGTGGTGGTTTATCACACATCTGTAGAGGTTACCCAAGGTCCTACACAGTCCTCATTAAATTTTTACAGCTTTTGTCTTTATAAGTGTTTATCTTTACGACATTTAAAAGAGTTAGAGGACTCCTGCTGCCTAAAAACATGTCTTGACAATTACTATAAATTGATAATTACAGCCCATGGTGCCAAACAATAGGACAAGAGACAATGAGCAGAACCTGATGCACAGAAAGTTCCACCTGAATATGAGGAAGAACTTCTTTACTGTGCAGGTGACTGTGCATAGGAACAGGCTGTCCATAGAGGTTGAGGGGTCTCCCTCACTAGACATATTCAGAAACCTCCTGGATGTAACCTTGTGCCATGTGCTCTGTGATGCTGCTTGAGCAGGGAGGTTGGACCAGGTGACCCGCTGTGGTCCCTTCCAACCTGAGCCATTCTGTGAGTCTGCATAATACTAAAGCAGGCAATTCCACACCTTTCCCTAGTCCCATGTCCTCCTTATGCAGTAATTACAACAGTATCTCCACATAATATGACAAATTATTTTCTGATCTGATGGAAATTACTTTGGTAGTTTAGTCCTCCTGTGGATAAGATGAAAGCCACAGATCACTCAGTGACTTCAAAATTGTCAAATCTTAAACAAGAGAAGAAATGGAGGCATATGTCATCTGAGAATAAGATCATAATTTCCTGCAGGAACTGCCCATATAGCAGATTAGGAAAAAGATGAGACTTTTTCTTAGCCTCTTTCCATCCCTTTGAAAGTCCTGGGATGGAAATGACATTTTGCCTGTTACTATTAAGAACTAAGATGAAAATGAAATAGAATGTTGATGAAAAACCTATATAATCACTAAGGAATAAAACAACAATTACATCTCAACAGCTCAAAGTTATCTTGCAAATTTAGGCTATTTTCATTTTTAGCTATGTGTGCAATTTATTACTTTTATATTCTGGATATAATATTGTATTGGTTTGATTCTGCATCTTTAGTTGATGGTTTCTGCAGGTGCACCAAGCTTGATCTTTATTCCACAGAGGTTTTAAACTCAGTAACCTTCCTTAAATTGGCAGGTAGGAGCAGAAGAGGTAGTTGGCACAATTGCCAGCAAATTGCCTCCTCTGAGGGACAGGGAATCCTCTATGCTCAAGAGATGCAGTGTCCTGGCTCTGCTGATTACAAGGGCGATGCCACTTGAGTAATAAGTTAACATGAATGTACAGTTGGCTTCTGTGTAAGGAAACAAGATGAAAAGCTAAAAATTACAGCGGACACAGGTAAAAGAAATCGAGCTCTTATGTCACTTTAGTATCAGGAATCATAAAGAAGGAGGTAGTGACAAAATTTTACTAGGAGGTACAATTTTTATTTTTTGCTCCATATGTTTTCAATATGTGAGTCATAATCATGTATTTGATCAGATCAGTGTAAGATAGCCTCTGAAATAATGAAGATAACAGATAAAATTTCTCTTACCCCATAAGCTTTGAATATTTGGGACCCAGGACTCTGGTCCCTGAAGTCTCTGGCAAAACTTAGGTTGACTGGTGAAAGATCAGACTACATTAGCTAAATAGTAAAGCATTCTTTTTAAAAAAACAAACAATTATTGTGTTGTCCATCTCTATACCTGCAACAGATTAGGAAGGGTTAACTGCAGAAGTGTTTTCTTCTGTTTTGCATAGGTAAACACTAAAAACTAAAAACAAATTACAATAACCTACTCCTAGTGAAATTTACCCTTTCTGGGAATTAGGGCCTTTCCTTAGTGGGATTACTGGATAATTTAAGAAGAAGATGCTGATATTCATATATTCTTTCTGGGAGTCTGATAATAGTGTTTGTTTTCTTTACTGTGCTTATGGGACTGATTCCCTAGTCCCTATATCATTATGCACTGTACAAAAACATCTCTGCAAGCCAGGTTACCAAGAAATGAGGAAAGAGAAAAAACACAATAAAACACAGAGATAATTCTCCAGATGCCCCTATTCCCATGATGACAAGGAGCTAAAAAATTGTTTCACATATATATTAGGCACTGCATGACACTTTAAAAAACAAAGATGTGACAAGAGTGGTAAGAGACACCTTTGGTAGTCCTGTTAGAATAAACTCAAAGCGGATTCAGGGATGGGGGATTCTGCCCACGAGTTTCAGCTGCAGTGTAATGCTTTAGTTACATACCCAATTAAGATTGAGTAGGTAGTAATTAACTCATGCTCTATTTATATGCAGGGCAAACTGCCCCTTGTTTTTCATGCCTTCTATCTTCAGGAATAGGATTTGCAGCATAGATTAAGTTATCTCATTAAACAATGCTTCAACAAAAACATAGTGGGTAACTTGTTTTTAATATTGAAAAGCTCTGTGTGATAGAAGAATAAGACTTATTGAGCATAAGTTAAAAGCTATAACTTTTTTTTTTTGCAAAGGTGGCTTTTCATCCAGAGATAATTTTCCTTTATTACAGAGTAGAAGTAATATTTGTGCTAAATACAATTTGCTTAAGACCGCAAAGCTGATCTTTCCACACAAAAACAGCTTGCAGTCTATGAAGTGTTCTTCATAAGCTTATGCTGCTTTATATCTTCTGACCTTCAACAGGGTTTTCTGGAAGAGGCTTAAGAAACTGAGTATAATGGTTTGAAATCAGTTGTATCTCACTGTGATTACATCAACACAGATAGTCAATATGTCCATGTTTATAACTGAACACATGCCCATTGCTGAAACTTGATGTTCTTGCTATCTTTGTGGCATATGGCATTAAGAGATGTATTTTAGGATAAACATATGTTTGGATCATGCAAAACAACAACAGCAACTAGTAAAACAGAAATGTTCCACTTAGTGCTGTAACAGCCTAAGTTCATTCTGAAGAACTGCAGGAAAGAGAAACCTTTACCAGCTATATGTGTCTACTTAATGCAACAAATCCTCTGCAACCTAAATGGACTTTCAAAAATCATATAGTAATAAATACTGACTTCCAGGGAAAACGTAGTTGAGCAATGCCAGGTTGCATGGCATCAGGAGCCCATAGTTTGTGAATGAGAATTGATTTTAGAAGACAAATGTGTAGGATGCAGCTTACATGACAATACTTTTCCCATCCTTACTTTTGGTAGGCTAATTTCCTTTCCTACTCAAAAATCAACATACATTGATTCTGTCTTCAGTAAATTCCTGCAAAATCAAGTGGCTTGTTCCGTTCTGCAGCTACCTCACAGGGTAAGGATTCTCCTGCTGTCTTCTTCTCCTTAAAGGGTTCTGCCTTATAAGCAAACCCCAAAGATTGTGTGCTTCCTTTAACATCAACGACACTGTTGATGCTGGATCAAAGTTGGAAACTGATGCCATGTTGTGCTGGGGTTTTGTTTTCCTCCAGTTAACTGTTTTCAAAGTTAAGGATATTAAAAACATACCAGACAGTAAAGCTTGTACATAAAGGTAATACTTGCATCACCCTAAATAAGATGGTTGAACAAAGTAGACAGGCTTTTGGGTGCAGAACACTTCTAGAAGTCTAAAATTAAAGAAGATTTCAAAGGTAATACAAACTGCAAAAAATTATTCAATGATTTCTTTGCTACCACTGGAGCAGAGGCGATCCAACGATTTTTTAACATCAGAAGGGAGAGGGGTGAAGGGGCTTCAGTGTTTTTTGAATGTGCAGCGTAAGCAGTGAGGAGCTGGGGATTATAATGACCTATAAAATCAGTTTTTCTGTTAAATCCTTAGTTTTACATAACCACCGGGATTATAAATTTTATAGGTTGTCTTTGGATAAACATTTTATCTTGAGGATCCGTTAAGTCTGAAACACTAAGCAGGAATAACAGCTTTATGAAGTGTGTTTCCGCAAGTTGTTTAATTCCTTGATTGCACACAGTCACTCTACTGAGTGCTGCCTGTTTATTTTCGCCTACACGAATATGGCAAAATCATCTGGTGCAAAGGACAGGGGTTATTCCAGTCCAGAAAAGGAAAACGTAGAATCCAGAAATGCTCCGACATAAAATACACCCGAGTTAATTTGGACTCGTACACCAGCAGACCCCCGGCGCAGGACACCGGGATGATGTGTGGCAGAGCAGCACAGAGGGAAGCGCGCAGGAGAGCCGCTCACCAGGAGAGCGGCGCCCCCCGGCTCCCCGCAGCCCCTCAGCTCCGGCTGCCGGCGCCGAGCGCCCCGCGGCCCCGGGCCGACCTGCGGCGGGGTCTAGTGACAGGACACGGAGTAATAATGGGACACACTGAAAGAAGAGGGTGTTGGGTTAGATATCAGGAAGAAATTCTTTACTGTGAGGGTGGTGAGGCACTGGAAGAAGTTGCCCAGGGAGGTTTGTGGTTGCCCCATCCCTGGCAGTGCTCAAAGCCACGCTGGAAGCGACTCTGAGCAACCTGGTCGTGTGGGAGGTGTCCCTGCTCACGGCGGGGTTGTCGGATCTAGAGGATCTTCAAATCCCCTTCCCACTTCTTAACATTCTATGATTTTATGGTTGTATGACCCCCGCGACAGGGCACAGCAGGCGTGAGGGGAGCCCGGAGACGCCCACAAAAGGGAGGAGCACAGTCCACAATAATTGAGTCATTAAAACACTCTGCACGTGCAGCTCTAGAAACGTTCACAAACAGAAGCCGGTGGGGGACCAACTCCTTCCCGCCTCCGCGGGTGGCGGTGATGGACATCGCGCCGCTCCTGGCCCGGCCGCAGGGCGAGCAGGGTCCGGGCAGCGCCGGCGGAGCCTCTCTAGCGGCCGGCGAAGGCGGCAGGAGCGGCAGCTCCCGGACACCGCCCGCCCGCGCCGGCCTCGCCCAGCGCACGCGCGGACGCTCAACGGGCTGGCGCGGGCACGTGACCGGGGAGCGCGCGGGGCGGGGCCGCCCCGGCGGCGGCGCAGAGGGGAGGGAGAGGAGGCGGATCCATCATGGCGTCGATGCAGGTGAGGCGTCTGCGGCGGAGCCCCCGGGGCAGCGCTGGGGCCGGGCGGCAGCGGCGGGGGGAGCCGGGAGCAGCCGTTCCGCCGGGCGCGTGCGTGCGTGCGTCCGTCAGTGCGTGGCGCGGCGCGGCGCGAAGAGCGGCGCGGAGGGAGGAACCGCCCTGGCAGAGGTTGAGGGCGTCGAGCTGCCGGGTAGCGGGGCCGTGGAGGGCAGGTGGCGGCAGGGAAGGGCCGGTCTAGCGCCGGGATGGAGGTGAGACGCGCAGGGGTGTGAGGGGCGAGGCCGGGACGGCGACGGGCGGGGCGGGCGCAGGGGAAGAGGCGCCTCAGGGAGGCGTCTGGCAGCGATGCCGCCGCTCCCTGGGCAGGCGAGGGAAGGGCGAAGGGATCCCTGCCCCGGGACTTTTGGGGGCCGCAGCTTCGCTGGGCGCCGTGGGAATGTGTAGCACACCGTGCGGAGTGGGCGGTCAGGAAGACCCTCCCTATGGCATCGTGGGGACCGTGACCGACAGCTCCGAGTTCTTGGGGGTACGGCACTGTAGTTCCCCTGCACGGGGACAGGGACATGTTCTGCTCCAAGCCGCGTGGTGCCCGTGTGGTTCTCTTCCTCTTCGTAAAATGAGGCTGTGCTGTGGTGTCAGCCCTGTGGACAGGTAACGTCTGGCTTTCTCGGCCGGATGGGATTGCTATAGGTACAGTAGCATGGAACATCTTGCTGCCTGACAGGTATTTCCAGCTGAATTATTCATTCATATCTACTCCGAAGGGGTTCTTAAACAGGGGCTGCGGAAATTGCTATGGTAGAATGGATCACTTTCACTGTGTGCTGCTCTGATTGGGTGGTGCTTTATTGCGACTCGGGTACGAGAAAAGATCTCTAGGTTTTGTGATAGTGGCCCCTGTCTCTCCTTATTTAACCAGCAACTTCTGTACTTTTCCTTGGATATTTACAGTTTTACATTTTGTTTTTATATTTGGATCATCTAGATCTCCTCTCATTTTGGTCCAGTATAGCTTATATTTTTTTTTTTTTTTTTTCACTAGTAATAGAACAACACAGAGTGTGCAAAACGAATGAGATTTGTTTAGTTTTTCTAATAACCTGGATATAGCATAGCCAAAATGTCAAATTTCTGAACTCTATGGGATAAAAATTACTCTCCTGAAATTTAGAATCATAAATACCCTCCCCCATGGTGTGTCTTTCAGAGTTACTGAAATGAAACGAGATCAAGAAATTGAACATACTGTACAGAATGTTCTTCTTCTAGTAGTAGCTTAGGCAGGTAGTCTGATCTGCCTTGGTTTTATTAGCTCTATCTGGCAAATGAGTTTTTTCAATTCTCTTTTTCTAATGTGCAGACTTCTGTAAGCTCAACTGCAAAATAGAGGCTATAGTTTATTAAGAAATATCTTTTATAAAACTGAAAAGTAGGGAAATGGAAGCTGTGAACTGGGAAAGGGACACGCTGTAAAGGGACTTGGTAAAGCTGTGCTGCGTCGCTGTCTCTGGCCTAGTTCTTCAGCGTGCCTCACCCTAATTCCTGTTGCTCCTTCTGTAAAGGGGAGAAAATGGTTACATATTAAATAAGGTTGTTGAGGATACATGAATGACAAATGTTGCCTAAACATCAGATGTATGGAGGGCAATACTCGCTTCCTGAAATTACAGCTGTGCTAAGGCTGATGTTGTAATTGGTTTCATTTTAGAAATAGCAGCTGTAAGATGACACTTTTTGTTTTTTTACATGATCTTCTGTTGTCTTTTGATAAGAGATTCAAGGACATTTTTGAAGGTTTTTTGTCTGTATGCTGCTAATTGCACGATGCTTAGTAAATGACTAATTTAATAATGTAGTTTAGCATATTGGAAGGGAGTTGTAAACAGGAAGCATAAATAAAAATTTAATAAGTGAACAGTAGAACTAGTATATTGTAAACATGCTCCCAGGTGGTCAGGATTTCAAGACCCTGAATTCTGTCAGTTAACATTTAAGTGTTCAGTGTGAAAAAATGTTTTACAAAGGAAACTTGTATCTATAATTTAAAGTATTTTTTTCGTTCAGAATAATTTAATTCGTTATAATTAGTGCTGTCTTCTAAGTTGCCTGACACAACAAAGAGATGTCTTTTTTCTGATGAAGTATAGTGTTTTTAAATACCCAATGTTTACGTAACCCATTGCTCTCTCTGACTTTACCATTGGTTTGACACTGTACTATAATGACAATATTATTTATTTTATTGATAAAAAATGATACATTGGTGCACAAAGTAAGTTCTAGTTACTTCTTAAACTGTTGCAATTTTATACAACAGTGCAAGATGCCCCAGGTTAATTACATTTTATCTTTACAGATCCACTGAAAAATCTTGGATTAAGTTGCAAGAGTTAGCTGATTAGCCCTGTTCTTAGTCTACGGGGAAGTTTTGGAACTAGTAACAAATTGCCTCTTTCTGCTAATGGCTCTGAGCATCGACCTGAATAGTTACTGCAGTTCAGTGGATGCCCAGTAACTTGTAAAACCTGTGACTTTGAGCCTTTGTGTGTATCATTAAACTTACAGTGATTTTTGTCTGTGTGGACAGTCTTTAATGGGAATTTTCTGTAACCCTTTCTTTCTTCAATAATAGATGCTAGTGCTAATGAGAGCTTGTGTTTTGTTTTCTAACCACAGGGTTGTTACTAATTTGCCACTGTTGGACTGGTTTAAACTGGTTTGCATAACTTTAGGCAAATCATATTTTTTCTTAAAAAAAGTTAACACGCCCCCAGACAAGCACTTATTTCCAAGAATTTTCCCAGAAAAAGCCCAAGCTTCTGCAATGTTCTCCTGGATAAAAACCACAGAAATATTCTGAAAAGGTACAAGTAATGTAGAACAAGGGAATAGAATGCATTTGCTTTAGAAAATTTTGATATAGCTTCTTTAATAATATGAAGCCTTTAAAGGCAAACACTAAAGAAATAGTAAACAGTTGTTCTCAGTACAGCTGGAAACACAGGACTTGCATTAAATATGAATGGAAGAGCAGGTAAAAAATAAAGTAAGGAAGTTCTGTTGAAACTGTACAGAAAATATGCCGTTGCTGTACAAAGTGTTAAATAAGGCCTTTCCTTAACAACGTGCAGATATGAACTATTTGCATCATAAACTTGAAAGATTTACTTTATTGATAATACTGACATCTTAATTACTATGATTTACCTTTCACTTCCTTTTAGTTTTAATACTACAAACCCTGGATATACGTGTGAAATTGTGGAAATTATTAGAGGAATGGTTTTAAGTTTTTTTATCACCAGAATAACTTCTCATATATCCTGTAAAGTTAGGCACATAAGATTTGTATGTGTAGGTACTTACATATGATTGAATGCAAAGCTAATGTAATTAATGACACAAACAACTTTAATAAAGAGTGTAGGATGTTAGCTTTCACTGTACTTCTGTGTTACACCTTGAAAACTGCTGTGGTGGGCTACCGTTAAATTACATGCACATGCCTAAATAAAGTGCTACTTGAAAAATCTTGTTCCATCAATAGAATTCTTTTGAAAATGTGTGTCTAAACAGCCATTTAATAAGCTAACTGTGTGAGATGACAATGCAGAATTCATGGGCAGTTTGAGATCCCAAGGAACTTGTATCACAGAACGTAAGCTATTTAGCAGTATGAAAACTTCCTACAAATTTCACCCCAGTATGTTCAGTCAGTGGGGTAGGGAATGAGGTAAATATTTACAGGTTACTGAAATCTCCAGAAAAAATACGTGTACTCTTGGTTTCACTTCCTTCTATTCTTTACCTGCACTTCTAGTGTTAGTGGAAGTTCTGTGTTTCCAGCTGTTCTCAGAACAATTAGTTATTGCTCAATCTTTGCTCAACACTGGCAGTGTTTTTATTTAATGATTTGGCAATATTTTTTTCTTATTTAAAAGCTTTGTCCAGGAAAAAGTATTGAACTATTTTTATTGTGTGTTCCAAAATAAGCCAAAACCCCAACCTTAAGTGAGGAAAGCTTTCAGTCAATTGGAACTTGGATGGTTATGCACCTTGGTTCTGTACTGTTAAATGTCATGGTATGGGATACTATTTGTGTTATTTCAAAAAGGCGAAAAAGAAAATGAGTGGATACTGTAGCTATATAACCAATTTTGGGATATAAACAGAATACAATTATTGGTAGTTAATAAAGTATTTAGTAGTTCCATTGGTGAAATGCTATTGAAGATTGAAATTTCAGTGATTATTTAAACAGAGAAATGTGAGTACCATAATTGAAACCAGAATGAGTAGAGAGTAAACCTAATTTCTTCTGTCCACTAAGAGATTGTTAGTCTTCTACATAACCTTTGGTAACCAGTCTGTACTGATGTGTGCTGTATTAGCTTTGGCATACAACCATGCTAGAGTGAAATAAGATAAATAAAAAAAAATTAGTAATTTTACCAAGATGAGTTAATTTAACCTTGGGAGTTTATTAATAAAGTTTTGACTTGACTATCAACTGAAGTTTAAAATTTATAGTCTTCATTCAGTAAAGATAAATAAAATAAAAGTTATGGCTTTAGGCCCTAAGGAGTCTCATTTGCCTGTTTTTGCATCTGCCTGTGTAAATAGAATTTTGGGAAATACTTTGCTGTGCAGCAGCTGCAGAATTTTTGAGCTAGGATGGAAGAATTCACTTCCGAGAAAGAAAGCAGTAGTAGAAAAGCTTATTGAAACCAGTGTCCCATGAGCATTATCAGCAGCTCTTCCTTACAAACAGACCAACTCTACAGCTAAAACGTAAAAAATCACGGATGCTTTCAACCTGTCACATTGAACACTGGTATCTCATGAATATGTGTATGGTTTCAATCAGGAAAATAAAATAGACTGGTATCTGTTGTTAAGAGTAATTCTGGTTGATTGCAATTAATTTTTGCTCTGAGTTTTATAGTATCTTATACTTGTGTTTAGGTCTAGCTATTCAAGTTCTGAGAAGAGAAAAATAGA